CAAAAAAGAGAAGACGATTAGTAGTGACGCTAGAAGTTTTTATATGAAAAATCCGGAAAGAAAAAAAAATTATGAGGTTTGGTTCAGTTGTAAAAATTCACTATTAGTTGATGATTACAGAGACCCCTTGTCTCACATGCGAGAATTCAAAGCACTCTGCATTACAACGTTGACGTGTGGATAAACATGTTAAGAAGGAAGAGCAGTGGCTCATAGCAACTGTCGGAGGCCGACGGATGGTAGTCGATGGTGAGGTCGATGGTGGTCAGTGATGGTTGACGACAGTCGGCGGTAGACTGTGGTCAACGACAACAATAATGGTGTTGGATTTTAGCTCATTCTTAAAGCTTTCAGTTCTTTCTCAAGTCTCAAGCTCTCCTCCCTTCCAAGAGAGAGGTTTGACTCTATTTATAGAGTTTCTTGTGCAATTAATGCAATAATATGAACATTTTGATCGTATGGATCAGAGGGCTCCCCTCAATCAGACGACATTTGTGAACATTTGAGTATCTTAACTATGTCGGAATTGAGCGATCGTCGGGACGCTCATTACCTTGAGATTAGTGCAAGAAGTTATAAATTTGTTGATGACTGTGTTATAAACCGGAGTGCTATGGATGTAAATATCGAACTTCAGGTGTTAGATATATAAATCTATAATAGTTATGGTATGTATGTAAATTTTTCTAAATTTAGTGTCAATTAATTTAGTTAAAAAATTTTGATTTCAAATTTCTTATGAAGATTTTAAATTTCTATATAGTGTTTCTACTTTCCAGTTTAAAAAAAACGTCCTTTAAAAATAAGAACAATCAAATAATGACAAACAGGAGCAATAGATCAACGGTTGATAAAGCTTCATCACCAGTTACAAAAGCACCCACCACAACGCGCCGCACGTGCCCGTCCAAGGATGGATTGGCTGAGTCGTCATTGTCTTCGCTGTTCCTCCGGTCCATTGTACCTATCCTGCACTGCCATCGTAGACGGGTAATTTAGCCCGTTTACTAACGTCCTGACGTCATCAGTTCTCTCTCTCTCACTCTCTCTCTCTCTCTCCGCAATTCGACGTTGACTTGATTTGCATCTATATATATATATATATAGATATTAGGGTAAATTAGGCTGAGTTTTTGTTCTTGCTCCTTAAAAAATATTATTATTCGGCTTGTTTATATTTCAAACAAAAAAAAAAATATTTGTGTTTTACTTGGCGAGCCGAACAAGAGTTATTCGCGAATAAAGAATCATTTTGACAATCTTAGTCATACAACCGTAGGATATTAATGGTGGGGCTAGATTTAAATATTATTAACTATATTAAAATTTTATTTAAATATAATTTAATATATTTTTTATTCTATTTTTTGAAATAATAATTTTAATAAATTATAAATCTTTATAGTCTCGTAGTTAATTAATTTTTTTAAAAATACTACTTATCAATTATATATATATATATATACACGCACACGCACA